TTACGGGGTGATATTGGGTGGCCTCCGCGTTCGCCTGATTTAACCCCTTGCGATATTTTTTTGTGGGGGTATCTAAAATCACAAGTTTTTAAACATCATCCACAAAATTTGGAAAATCTTAAGGCAGCAATAAGGCAAGAAATCAACGCAATTTTGCAAGACATGGCGCGCAGAGCAATGACGAGCTGTCGTAAAAGGCTTCAAATGTGAATTGACAATAACGGCGGTCATTATTTTTAAAACATGAAATGTATAAAATAATATGTGTTTCCTAAAAATAAAAAGCTTTTTTCTTAATTTGATCTTTATTGACATCCCAAATTTTCTGACAGATTCATTATGACGACTGAAAATGGCATACACTTAGCTACCTAAAGCAACCACGCACACTGCTCTATCCCCCCCCCCCCCACGAGCCGAACCATGACCCTTTGAAAATGGGGCAACCTTTTTGCCGCACCCTGTATTATTTATTTATTTAATTCCATGCCTTAATTTTTTTAACATGTGGGTAATATGTTTTTTGCTTACGCATGTCGAAGCCGCTGTAGCTACGCCCCTGCATCAAACACATCATTTCTATTTTTTTAATTCTTTTAGACCAAGTCCCACCAGGGTCAGTGTTGTCGCTAAGCTACAAAGACTTATTTGAATTTTTAATAAGTTTTGCGGAAAAAAAACTAAAGATCAAGTTTTGTCGAATTCAAACAAAAATATTCACCCTCACTGATTACAGTAGCTTATCACCTGAAGCACAAATTATTTTAAATACATTTTACTACAAATTCAGAATTAAGTGGATTTCATCAAACAAAACAAAAAAAAGATTTTTAGACCACAACAAAGACTGAATAAAAACAAAATATGAATTTAAAAGAAATTGCATAACTGGTAAAGGTCGGAAATCACTTGATTTCGAAGTTTGCCGAGATAACAAAACGGTTAAAAACATCAAAATTATCGAAAAGTTTTTCTACACAAGAATTAGTTTATGCAGCCCAAATAAGATATCGAAAGGAGCATGAATTAGAGGCATCTAATGTTCTTAAATCCATTTATACACAGCCATTAAAGGCGAAAAAGTATTTCAATTCCCTTTTAAACAAAAAAGTACTTATAAAAAGCTGACATCAGTATCACTTATTATTGAGGGTAAATTTACTAAATTTTAATACAAACTATTGAAAAAGCAGGCGTAGGATAATAATTGTTTCAAATATCCTTCTTATGAAGCAAAGAAATGGTGTTATCCCAAAAATTTTTATGTATCCAAAAGTGTAACAGAAGTCCCAATTTTGTCATTACTAAATCATAGAAGTCACAGGCTGTATAATAATAATGAAAACAATATTTTAAACTTGACTTTAACTTGCAAATGGAGATTTGACGGGTCATCTGGCCAATCGGAATACAAGCAACGATTTCAAGATGTTTCATTGTCAGACTGCAGGTTTCTTTACAACTTTAGTGCCCATAAGGCTTAATCTTAGTGCCAAATCTGAAATAATAATATAAACTACAGAACATCGTCAACAAGATTTTGGACCGCTGTCTGGACAAAAAAAATACACATGTTCTGGATAGGTTCAATCCTAAGGATGTCATATGAACGTCTCACGGGTTATTCTTCGGTATATTTAGTAACCTGGGAAAATCCTCTGAATGTCACTCTAAACGTATAAAACCATCATTATTCAGCTGTGCCATCACACCTCCAACTAAGTATTGCAACCCATCTCTATTTATAGTTACCGTGCGTAAACAGTGAGATGTATTGCTTATGACGTGGGAGTTGGACCGACGCGTCGCGACGTTGGAAATCGATTATCATTTGCCGACAACGCGTCGGTCCAATGTTGGATGTACGTCGGAAATTGATTATTGTTTTCCGACGTTGGACAGCTCATTTTGCCGAGGTCGGTCTGACGTTGGATTGACGGCGGAAATTAATTATCGTTTGCGACGTTGGACCGAGGTCTTAAATAAATTATCGTTTACGGACGGTTTACTGCTCGTTTTGCCGACGTCAGTTAAACGTTGAATTGACGTCGGAAATTGATCCTTTGCCGACAATTGTGCCAAGCTGGTAAAATGAATTAAACTACTTTTTATTTTAAAGATTTATTTAAATTTATTTATAAATTATAGTCGAAATAGACAAAATAATATACAAAACTCATGTTACAATGACTTATTGTAATACTCGTACTATTGCCGCACTCCTTCAGGGTCGTTCGGCAAAATAACTCGGTATCACAATAAGGGTCATTGTAACACTTGTTTTTCAAAATACTATAGTGATAAATATATATTAATTTGAAAGTCCAAAAGGCTATCGACCAAGGTCTTTCTGCCTATAAATATATACAATAATATTTTACAAATTATTTGAAATAATTATTAGGCTGGTTCTTATTTGGCCAATGAGGGTAATTTAATTGTGCCGCCCCCGCATTTGTTAAAAAAATTATTTAAAAAATGCATGCCTTCTATTGCGTGTAACAACGAGAAGATTTCCAGATAGAGGATTGTTGCCTTTAATGTATTAATTTTTTAAAATTACGTACCAATAATTATTATATGGGATTAATTTGTTTAGAAAATGTAGGGACATAAGTTAGTAAAAAAGAAATCATGTAGGCCTTTTTTACTTTGCTCGATTATTACTTAGTTTCCCTTATTTTTGCTTTAAAACGTAATAATTTATTAAAATCATTAATAAGTTTTTATAAGGAAATAATGTCCAATGAAAATTGTCCATCCTGAGTATACAGGTATTTTTTAGTCCGCTCAATTATTACTATTATTGTTATTTTATTAAAAATGGCATAAAAAATCATATTAGAGAATTTTGAAAAGTAAAACAAATAATTTTACATTGCCTAAAAGATATTTAGGTAGGTTAGAAAAGTACAAAATTACATCAATTGAAATTGATTTTTAGATTATTTTCGAACAATTTATTTTTTAAGAAAGAAACAATGTTCAAATGGCAAAAAAACAACATAAAACCCAGATAATTAGGTTTTCGGTATTTTAAAAATTGTTTTTTTGCGTCGGGAAATGCTTTTCGAAACTCTGACACAAGTTGTACAACAAATTGTTTCTGGTCTGTGTGTGTGTTATGATGGAGTTATACTCGTCAAATAAATGCACTACTCTTTCGGCAGCATCGTTAACGATTCTCAGCTGAGCTGCAGTTTTAAACCATTTGATAATTTTGAAAATTATCAAACGGTTTGATAATTTTAAAAATTATCAAACGGTTTAAAAACTAAAATTAAATTTTCGTCCTGAGGCCAAATAGTCGGATCGATTTTTAACAATAAATAATGCCATCATTTACTTTAAATTTCATATTTTTTTATTAGAAGCGAATCATTAATTAATAAATAAATATCTCATTGTAATCTAAAAATACTTGTTTTACTTTTCAAGACATTCTATTTATATACTATACTTATATCCTGTTTTTTATGCCATTTTCAATGAAATAAAAATAATGGTAATAATTTAGCATACTAAAAAAGACCTCATGATGTACATACACGAATTCTTCTTTTTTTTAGTACCTTATTTTCCATTTTTCCTCAAAAAAATAGAATTTTTCATTAATTACACTGGTCTGCAACTAAATCCTCCCTCAAAAAAATTCATCACAAATATGAAGATTTTAATGCTCTGTTTTGTTCCCGTTGGCCGATTTTTTCACGACTATAGTCTATAGATTTTGTGTTGTTTTTTTTCAAAATATCATAAATTTTGTTTTTTTTAATTCGTTGTACGCGTAAACATTACAAACAGTGTATATACATACAAAATAGGTATAAGGCGTAAGAGAAAGAAGGAAAGTACCGAAAATGATTTTTATGGTAGTACATATGCGCTTGCGCAGTATTCGCTGTGACTTTACAGCACTAGAAAACTTGTCTTTTAATTGCAATTGCTTACGTTCTATATCAAATATTTTGGAAACAGATCATATTCTATATATTTTTGTAGTATTTTATGTGTAGTTTATATAAAACTTAAGCCATAGTAATTCTTAACTTTTTTGTAATTGTTGTTACTTTGAAATAATATCGTTTTTTTTAATGGACATAATATTTAAAACCTATGTGCTGTATTTATTTGCATGTTAAATTCCGTGTTTAGAGCACCAAATATAATTTTATCATGTATGAAAACAATGAGAAAAAAAAATATTTTTTTCTTGCAGACCAGTGTTATTAATGATTTTAAAAAATTATTAAGTTTTAAAGCAGAAATTCCCTATAAGGAAAACTGTACCTAATTATCGACCTTGGGATACAATTGCATAATTTTTTTTTCTGTTTAAAAGTAACTTATATTTTCTATATTTTCTCAAAAAAATTAATTTTTTTCATAGATTATTTGTAATTTTAAATAAGTTATACATTAAAGGCAAAAATCCTCTATCTGGAAAACTTCTTGTGTGGCAATAGGAGGAAATAAGTTAGGACATTCAAATTTAGCATGCTTTTTTTTAATTTTAAAACAATTGAGTGGAGGCACTATTAAAATACCGATATCAGTCAATTAAGAACCAGCCTAATAATTATAAAATGTATAAACTTAATTATCTTAAAAAGACAAAAAAAGACAAATGAAGACATTTCTGTTTGCTTACTTACCAAACAGTTTAATAAAAGTTTTTTTACCTAAAAGAATAGTTGGGCAATTTAAACTGCTGTTTTAAATAAATTGATGTATAAATTAGAAAAGTTTATTTTGTATACAACTTTTTTAGCAACATTTTTGGTTTTAGTTAGTTAATACATTTAGTGGCTATTCTTATAAGAAAAATAAAAAAGTATTTACTATTTTTATAATTTTTTGTTTTGATTTAGTAAATTAGATTAAACTTTAGAAGAATTATTAAAAGTATGCAAACTGTATGCATATTCTAGATCAAATATTATTTAATATTTGTAATAAAAACATAACATTTTATTGTTATTTTATACAAATAAGTTTTTAGGGTATTTTCAATAAAATACTTACATAAATAATGGCAGATAAAAAAGCACGCTTAAGTCTTCCCTCACAATACAATGTGGGAAAATCACCCCTTCGTCACACACAATCGCACATTGGGAAAAAACCTGCACCGAGAGTACCACCAATAAAGGAAGAAAGCACGGATTCATCAGAAATAGTTTTAAGACTGACAAAAGAGACAAAACGAAGGGAAAGTTCGGCAAGTACGTCAGAGGTAAAACCAAAAATTGATGGAAGTAACTTTGAAAGAAAGTTAAGTAAAACAGAATTAAAATCAACAATCGAGGAACACGATGACATAAAGTTAAGTAAAAGCAAAACTGGTAGCAGATCCAGCCTAAAAGTACATGCTTATGACAATGAAGCTTTAGAAATGGGCAGTGGTAATATTTTTAGTAGAGGACAAAGTGAAAGATCGTCTATGAATCCAAGTATTAATACGTAAGTTTTAATTTCTTATTCATAATTATAAATGTCAACTATGTGGAGAGTCAACATTTTATCTGAAGTTAATAATAATAAGTATAATAATCCTAAATAAAATAGTTGATTGGCGATGTATTTTTTTGCATCACGTGACACTCCATACTATTATTAAATAATTATTTTAGATAGGTAATTGCATTTGTATTTTTATTAAATTAAACCAGGTTTCCTTATCAAACTTTCGTTAATTACCTTGTTAAAAAAAACTGGTACAAATTTGTACATTTAAATGATGCATAAACCCTCAATTGCTGCTCTTTTCAGTGGAAAGTTTCCACATAGCACAGTGGTCCTCGACTAGCCATGGGTTTTATGAAAATGGCGCCAAAAAATAGGTTCAGATATTAGTAGGCATGTATATTAAGGTTACAAAAACGCTGCAAGTCAAATCATAGCTGATCATAAAAATTTGTTTTTGTGATACTTTTATTTATGTTTACATTTGACCATTGTTTTAACCCTCCGCCGGGCGCGCCAGCGGCAAAAAGCCGCAAATTTACATTTTACTCTTAAAACTCAAATATGGTCAGCTCTGTAATATTGTGCGTCTATGTATTCCTTGTTTTTGTTATTGGCTTCACCTACTAAAAGTCTTGGTGCAAATGGCATTTCCGGTCAGTTGTTACAGCCGAATTTGCGGTGTGTTTGCCGCAGCGCGCACAGTCATGTTATTTTTATTTATTAATAAACTTTTCATAATTATCAATTATATGAAAAAGTTCGTAATTAATAGAACTTGATATTAAATATTGTGTAATGTGCATTTTACATGCATGTGTACGGGCATTATTGTGTATGCTAACACACAGTTCACGTAAAGGATTAACACCCGATGAGTTAAAAAATATATTTGTTTAAATTGTCTTTTAAATTTAATTAGGCATGTTATGTCTTACTTTAGTACACAAAATATTTTTTTATGTTAGAAGTAAGCTAGAAACTTAAAGAACCAAATGCGGTGTAAATGCCGCAGCGCGCCCGCTCATGTAATTCCCAAAAGCGCGCCCGCCCGAGGGTTAAATTAATTTCAATAATTGGCACATAATTGGAGGTCACAAAAGTTTACATATACAGGTTCATTGATAAGTTGGCACTGAAATATTTGATTAACTTGTCAGTTGTCAGCCTAGGTTTGGTCTAGGGTTGTCAGTTACTGTTTGCCTTAAAACACAAATCTAATAATTTTTGTCGGTTTTATTGTTACTTTTATGATAAAATGAACCCTATTGAAAGTGTAAGCTACCATGAGCATAACAGCATGTGGGCAGAAAATTATTATGGGTAATACAAAATCGTCGAAATTTTTAATTACAGAATCCTTAGTTCCCAATTTCAATTTCCATCTGCAATACTTGTCGCAATGGTATCCCAAAATTTAAAAGCCAATTATTATGTAAAATTGTCCCCTGAATCCGAAAATACCGTCAAAAATTATGAAAGTTTAGCAGTTTTTGAGATATAGTCAATATATTCATATTAAATGGAAAATTGACTATATCTCAAAAACTGTTTTACTTTTTTTAACTTTTGAAGACATTTTCGGATTCAGGAGACAATTTTACATAAGAATTGGTTGTTAAATTTTGGGATTCCATGGTTAACCATGGTTCAAGTGAAAAACCCACTAATAACTAAATTAGTCATTTTTGACCAATTCATTTTTAGAGAGCTGGGCTTTCAACGTCTCTTAAATTGCACGTCATTTTGGAACATATTACTCAATCTTTGCAGTTTCTTCAAGAAGGTGGACTTGGTTTATGGTCAGAGCAAGCAGGAGAATCTATTCATAGAGAGTTTGTCAAGTACTGGAACCCATATAAAATAAATCTCTTACAAGATCCTTGCTATCAAATCCAGTTAAAAAAAGCTGTTGTTGAGTTCTCCTCTAGACATTTGTAACAAATATTGAGTATATGTGAATTTGTTTTGGTCAATAACCTTTTTTAACTGTAAAAATAAAAAGTACTTTTTTAAAATTTTAGGAATCTAAAGGCTATGTAAAAATGCGAAATTGTTACATCCATAAAATAAGTTAATGATCAGCTACGATTTTACTTGATGAATTTTTGCAATGCTTATAGATATACCTATCCAAATCCGAACTCATTTTTTGGCGCCATTTTCATACAACCCATGGCTAGTCGAGGACCACTGTGATAGATGATAAACGGGGGTTTTAAAAGAGCACTTTTTATAAGTACTACATAGTTACCTACTAAACTGATTACTATTTTCTTACAAACCAAATATCGTCAAGTCATTTTAGAGCAGTAGCTGAACCAGTATATTTAGAAAATGTTTTGTCCCTGAACACATGATTTATAATAGTAACTCCTATTTCGAAATTTGCTATTATTTAAAATTAAAATCGCTCTGTCTGCTTGTTTCCCCTATGCAGGGTGCTGTTTAAGAACTGTGACTCAAAATTTGACTGTTATATTGACTATTTTTTTAAAAATTTACATAAAAACACCAGAATTTATTATTATAATCTATCAGTGACAACATACATAAATTTTGTTTAAAATGGCTACCTTTTGCTTTGTCACAGAGCCTCAAATGCTTTACAAAATTTTCTAAAATGGCACGCAACTCACCTACGAATATTTTATCCCATCCTGCTAACAATGATTGCTTTAGGGCCTCAATACTCCTATGAGGTTTAAAGCAGGCTTCTAAATGAACCATACGCTGTAATCCATGGAATTAAGGATGCTCATCTATAGTGATGAAATTTGGAAAATGCATAATTCCTGCGTCGCATTGGCTTTGTGTGCTGGTGATGTCTTGTTAAAAGGTTCAGTATTGTTGTTCAAAGTAATCTTTATACCAAAAAGGCACAACACTTTTTAAAATGTTCCCTTGGTTCGCATTTTGGTTGATTTTTATCCCCCAAGACAATAAGGGGTGTTTTTCCTGTGCTGCACATGGCAGCCCAAACCATAACTAACTGCGGATTTTGGCGATGTGGCACGTTACATTATGATCCAAGATTAAGAGACCACCAATTCCTATCATTTTGATGGTTGTATTACTGTTTGATTGTAAACAATTTATTGTCGGTAAACAAAATTGTTTTCCAACTCTCATGGGCGCCTACGTATTATATCGTGAGATCTTGATCGTATTTTTTTAATTTTCAATGAGCAACTGCGCTTTTTGCATTTTGCAAGGTAATAGTTCTTCTATCTTTTATGTCAATTTCAATTCAAGCAATTTTTCTTACTGAACATTAAAGGAATGAGTGGTATTACGAAATTATACTTTAAAAAATAGACCAGGTCATTTTTTTCATATTAAAATGTTTAATGTAAGTATGAGCCAGAAAAAACATAAAGCAATACCATTAAGCGATTTGGTATGGTGTGAACTTTTTTAAATATTACACTGTTCAAAATCAAGCCTTTTGAAATACCTAATCAGAATTAGTTAAGGAAAAATAAGGTAATATGCTTAAACGAGTAAAGCAATTTACCCTCTCGTTTATTAGGCAGAAACTAATGCCTTAGTTCTATGGTGAATTCACTAACTTCTAGATAAATATTCATACTTTACTTAATAAACTTGTCAAATTTAAAAAGAAAGGCAGATTACCTAAATATTTAGTCAAAATCTCAATTACTTTTAGGTACGACAATTTTGCTTTTAATTTATATAATTCTTCTAAATTATTATGGCAAATTATTGATCTAATTTAGGTAAATTCCTTTAAATATTAGTGACTTACTTGCAATCGGCTACGATCGCTAATACCGACGTTTTAAGATAAATATTCGTGCCTATATTGTCCACCATAATGCCAAAATCAACGAAAGCTTAAAGACCGCGTTGTGTGCTATTGATATAACAACATAGTTAACAATTATTGTGATATAAGTGAACATTTTGTAGTGCTATAGTTAAGTAATCTAAACTAAATGGAATTTCCCATTGACCCCAATTTATTTTTAAATAATCCCAACCATGCAGGGTTGGGATTATTTAAAGGGTTCCGGTACTACATGTAGTACCGGAACCGCCGTTGTTAATTCGCCTAGGACACAAAGATAAAGGAGTCCTAACATGGAAGAAAATTCCTATGCTAGGATTTTCACTAAAAATATATATAATTTGCCTGAAAACTTAGCTAAAATCTACCTAAAAATTTAAGCGAATTGCCTTAGAAACAGGAAATTTATTCTTTTATTCTCAGGCAATATCCCTTACGATCTAAGGTGTATTATCTTTGAAACCTAAGTAATTTTGCTTAATTAATTTTATCATTTTCTTTAAAAATATCAGTTAAAGAATTCACTAATTTAAAAGGGGAATATTCCTCTGAATTCATTTTAAGCAGTTTGCCTTAAAAAATCAATGGTCCTATATAGTCTAATATTTTAGGTAAAAAATAGCTAAAATTTTGAACAGTGTATTGGTGCATCCTTCGTGATCTGGTATCCAGTGGAGGCTCGTGGGTGTATAGGAGGGTTGGGTTGGGTTGGCTTAACCTAAATGAGCTTAATTTTGTCTAAATACGAATAAATTTCCACGTATTTCCCGGTATTATTCTGCGACGCGTTGACCTTTTTTAAAATAGCCCTACTAAACCATTACAAATAAAAAAATATATACTAAAAAAAAACAAAACAAAGAAAATATCAAAGCAATCTTAACCCAAACTGCGAAACTCAAAAATATAAATTCGTTTTTTAAATCTTTAAAATATATATCTGGAACTTAAAAATATATTTATATGGATGGATAAAAATAAATATATTTATTATATATGTATAATATACATTGTATATATACATTTAAAAGAAATAAAATATCAGAGTAATCGGAATACCCACCTCCTGAACTCCAATTGTTTTTGACGGGGCTCAATAAAATACAATGCCAACAAAAAAGCTTTGTTTATAAATTCTTCCGCATAGCCACTTATAGGTTTCGTTTCAAATTATTTGAAAAGTTCGTGCCAAAATCACGAAGAATCAGAATTCGAAAACAATTCCCGGCTTTTAAATGTCTCAATAAAATCCGATTGCTGTTTTTTACTGTGTTTTGCATCTTTAGTACGGTATTATGTCGCGAATGATCAAATCGAGGATCAAATGATAAAAATTAGTTCTTGAAAAACATTCAAAACGCATTATAGGGGATATTTGAAAAAAAGTCATATTTTTGTTGCTAAGATTCCAATTCGAAAATTTAAAAAACGTTTCAAGGTAAGAAATAATACTTTATTATTTTAAAGTAAAAACGAGAAAACATATTTTTTTTCAAACGAGGCTTGGATGAAATTATTGAAATATTTCACCGTTTTACATATCTCCCTGTAGGAATTTACTTGAAGAACCTTGAGCTTTATATATATAGCATGAATTACCAGAGGATGAGGCTAGCAGACATCACAGACCAAAATAAAATCGTTCAAGAAACAAAAAAGTTATGTCGTTTTGAAAAATAACAAACTTCTTGGTCGCGACACATTGAGTGGTGTGCAGTTTATTTCGAATTTAAATAGGAGCTTCCGAGGCTGCGAATCATTCGGCTCTGTCCTGCCCAACTAACAATTATCTGTTTTATAAATATCGTAAGAACGTTTACAGAACTATTTTTATAAAACAACAATGTCGCTAAAAACGTTTTAATAACGTTTATACAACGCTTACAAAACCAAAAAGGGCGCACTCCTGTGCAGCAATTTAGTTCTTTAATTTGTTTTATTATGGCTTCCATAGCTTTTACCGAACAATTATATAAACATTTACAAAATGCCGACTCTCAACGATGTAGTGGGTTTGACCGCGTAAACTAGACGCGCTTTGCGCCTGGATTTTTATTTACGCTTAGTATAATTGATTGGTTTTTTACTTTTTAATGAGTAGAACTGTTGTAAAAATACACTTGTATTAGGCAAAAAGGTAAATACAAAAAGTCGTTCGTTCCTTCAAATTAAGGGTGAGGCGCGGACTCAGAGGCCTACCCTGACGACCCGCCACTGCTGGTATCCAATTTAATGGATACTCTTAAAATTTATAGCCGATTTTTATGCTGTATCAGTGCCAAAAATGAGTTTTAAAGACTATAGGAAAAACTGTCGTGTGTTGCTTTTTTGACAAAAATGCAAGTGTTTCTTAGAATGTATGGGCAAGAATGTGATCTTGATTTGATTTTTTATTTATTTTATTATTATTATTATTAATATTATTATTATTATACCAAGATGGTAAAGTTAATTGACATACAAACATAATTAGTCATTACGTTTTATAAAATGTAAAAATATTTAATATTTCTTTTATTTTTAGGGTCCATAAAGAACAATACTGCTTCTGCAGCAAGTGGTCGACCTGCCAAAGAGCTGCTGCAGTTACAATTTCAATCTTAGTCATAATAATAATTGTTTTAATTGTTGTTATAGTTGTAATGGCGAATAATAAACCGGGTGCGTTGGAGTCTTTAAAAAGCTTTAGACTTACTGACTGACAAGAAAACGAAATATTATTATTATTAGGTATTGATTTTAACATAATTGTGATATTTTTATTTATGTATTATCTAATAAACTAAATTATTGTTCTGGTTGTGGATTTTAATTTTATAAAACTGATTCAATGATAGAAACATTTACAAAATACACACAGAGAGAACAGTTTTAGGAATGGTTACCTACTAAAAAATCCAGAAAATTTGGAACAGTTTTGATATTTTAAAAATAAACATTTTTATTATACAGAATAGAAATAATAAACATAGTACACAAAGATAATTAAGTATTATCTTTGAAAGTACCTACCTAATTTTAAAAGTTAATTGAGGGATTAAAAATTACATATTTATTAAAGTTTGAAATAGTGGGAAAATAAAAACACCAATTGGCTTTTTAAACATTTTTTTTGTACAAATTTATAAAAATAAAATCAAATAAAAATAGGAACATAAACAGGTATACTGTAGAAGTTAATAATCCTAAACTAATAAATTAAGCAACAATTCTAAACAGAACAACTAAACTCGGGAAAAAAAAATAAAAATTATTATAATACCCCGGAGGAACTGTTTTAAGTAAACTAAAGGAACAAATAAATTATAAATTACAGTTATTTTTTATGTCTACTATTTATTTCATTTATCGTCTCCCAAATGCCGCCGGGTGCAGTTAGTACCTCTGCACTCCCCTAAATCCGGCGCTGACTGTAGTAGTGGTTATGGCTACCTAATGTACCAAGTCTTTAGCATACTGCTATTGTAGGAAAATTGTTCTGTCTGGGGGAGATCTTGTCTTTCCCACCCGGTTCGTGGTATTTCAATTGCGACGTTGAAAACGCCCGAGGTGGCTAGTGTTGTTACAACTCCTACCCGTTTTTGTCGTGGTCGTTCAAGTAAGCTTTCTATTATCTTCGACGTTCGTCTATGAGTTCATAGGTTCCAGATTGTTATTTTTGTCTCGATTAGTTTAAACACTTTTGTTTATGGGGCCGGTTTCTTAAGTTTGTGGGTTACATGACTTATTTACTTTGTGATTTATTTATTTACAGCTCAGCTATAATCCCGGGAATGCAAACGATAAGAATTGGGACAGCTTGGTTTTATTGTTTACTTACTATTGTCTTGTTACTAATGTTGCTGTTGCTGTTTCTATTTGTTTTGTATTGTTTTTTTTACTAGAGTTGTCTTTAGGAGGAAAGAACCGCTCTAGTGTTGTGTAGGTACCTGAACGTGGTTAATGTTGCAAATTTACGAATTAGGTTATGCTGTTATCGGTTTTTGACCCTTTCCTCTCTTGGTTAACCTTGTTTGTTCTTCACATAAAATGCTTCCTATTATCAGGTGGTTTTTCTGCTAGGTATGCGGTCACTTATCACCTCTGTGACCGCAAGGTGGCCTTTATAAATTAGTAATTATAATTCACTGTAGATACTATGCACTACATTTTATTTTTACAGTAGGAGTAGTTTATTTTGTGGGTTGTAAAATTTGTGTTTTGGTCTTTTCTCTTCAAGAGTTCGAATGTGACAACCCAACCCAACCCAACCCAAACAAACTCCAATTTTGTTTAATTACAAAATTAACAACAGTACTTAGAACAGAGCTATTAATATGAAAGATTTGGGAGTTACATTACAGTACGAATCTATCATTTTCTATTCATATTGTAAGGTAGGTACACTATGTATTTTGTAACCCAATTCTTTAAGCATAGGTACTGAAATACTTATTTTGGCATATTCGTGATCGTCTAATTAATTTACTTACTTTATAAAAATTAGGACTTGCGCATGCGTTGTGTTTTTACGTACATTGATAATAACATTATTTTAAAATTGGTCAGGTTTAATGAAACACAAGTATTTAATTTGAAACCCCTGATTTAATTTAAGTAAAGACAACGAGGTGGCCCGTTGAGTCAGAGCACAGGGAAAAGGGACCATAAAAACCCTGGCGACTTACACAGTTCAAATAATAATAAAATACAAAACAAAACAGTCATTTGGGTCATAATCACAAGAGTACTATATAAATAATAAGTGAATAAAATAACATGAAAAGCAGATAAACATATTTTATATAATTTGGGTGTTTTTATAAATATTCAAAACATTTTATACTCAGGTGAAGTACTTATGAGGGATCGTCATTTTATGACGAAGAGTTGAACTATTTGTTAACCTTACCACGCAACCTCGAACTATTGAACGAGGATACGATTTTATATAAATAAACTATGGAACAATAGCATCTCTGTGAAGTGATATAACGAAACCTAACGTCCTTATCTCACAAATATTCTCACAAAATCCACAAAAATGTCCAGCACAAGACAACAGTATTGTGAAAATATACAAACAATTCTGCACCCACATAAAAACACTATTTTTCTTCTAAGGATAAATCCTTTTGAAATAATGCTAATGCTAATATATTACTCATGTTCAAATATTTATGCATGAGCACTCTCCAAACGAAAACACAAATACAAATACAGACACAAATAAAATCAACAATATGCAATAAAATAAAATGGTGTAAAATTCAAATAAATACAATAAATGGTAAATAGTAGAGCGTCATAACAAGAAACACCTAAAAATGGCCTAACCACCAGAAAGTGTCGCGCTGGATAATAATATAAAGAGATTTTTATCATATATCGATGACTTTCTGCCAAAGTATCGTAAGTAACATAACTCAAATTTCGGGAATTAAAAACATTTTTTATTTTAAAATCTGTTTTAACACATATATAACCTATAGGTTTTGTAACAAGTAAATAGCTATAATTATAAGCTATTTACTTGTTATAAAACCTTTAGGCTATATTTAATTTGAAACAGTTTTTAAGACAAAAAATGTTTTCGATTCCCGAAATTTTAGTTATGTTGCTTACGATACTTTGGCAGAAAGTCATCGATATAGTAACAATAAAGTCATTATCAAATATTCCAAATAAAGCTTAGAAAAGCAGTATAAATCAAAGTCTCTATCCGGAATCTATCAAAAGGCTAAACGATACTATTACCTTACCACGATATTACCTAATGGTAATATCGAATTTAATAATACAAATAACAATATAATTAATAATAATAATATTATTAGCATTTTGTGTAATATGTAATATATAATATTACATATTATAATAATATAATTTTTAAAAGCTTTAGCCTGAGTACAAATGCAAAGAGTTAAAATAAATAAATTTCTTAATACCGAGATGATACACTGAGTTCCATAAACAATAAAATACATGTGTTAAATAAAAAGTTATACAAAGTTATACAAAAGGAAACAACACAACAAAGGTCAGTGTAACTCACAATAAAGACAATTCAAAATATTAAAATTTAAGATAAATGTAATTCAGTGTATATGATGAACGCGACAACATAAAGCTTGTGATTGGAACTCAGTGTATGCGCGTCTCCAAGGTATTAAACCCAAATAATGAAATAGTAATGAGTATGAGTACGAGTATAAGAGACGTATAACCAGCCCCATTTCCTCTTGACTCTCGAGGCCTATGTTTACTTACGCCGATTTTTGTTCTTCCCCAGCAACTGCACGGCTTCACCCTTGTTTGCTGGGTGCGAATGTCCATTGCGTTACGTACTGTCCCCTATTTGGGGCTCGAGAGCGAGAGGCGAATAGTTTTAATAGCCATTCTCGGGTTCGCCGAGCCTATGCTATACGCTCAGTGGGGTATAGGAGGAGGGACGGGAGGGTGTTGGTTTTTGGGGGACAATTACGCCGACTTAAAACTAAGTACGACGCGGAATCCCCCTAGGCCATTCGATTAGTATTACTCCAAACATTTGGGATTACTATTTGGAGTTGGGGAACTGTTATTTCGCTGCAGGGGTGTAGTTTCCTAGTCGAGGTCTTTGTCTTGTTCGTTATTGTCATTGTCCGTGTCCTGGTCAGATAGTTCCTGCACTTGGTAAAGTGTGTCAGTTGTTTTTAATAAATTTGTCCCAAGCACGTTGTGTGGTAGAGTTTTGTCTTATTTTCTTAAATTCAAAAATTAAGTATTGCATTTATTTATTAGTTAAACAAATGACAAGCGCAATTATTCTGTTATCTAATGATTACAAATCTAGTGGAGTTTGATTATTAGGCTTTTTTTTACTGTGTTAGGGTTATTATGATTAATGTTAGTTTATTCTGTGAGTCTGGTGTTTATTTTCGGTTTCGTTTGGGATTGCATTACGCACTTGTTTTTGACAGATTTAATGCCCTACTCCGTGTGCCTTTCATATGTTTTAAAGGTATCTGCCGTATTTAAATTGCAGATTTTGTATTAGGTCATGCATATTCTTAACGTAACTTATCAATTTTTTTGCGGATGGCCACCTCCCCTCTTGTTTGTCCTCCTTTGTCTGTCCAGTGAAAAGCGTCCAATGACAGGTGGCACTTAACTCATTCATATCACTTAACACTTCACTCCTCAATGACCGCTACACCACTCTAGCTTGCACTCTATGAAAATTGTTTGTTTCACTTTATTAGTTTGCACTTTTTAAAAATTATTGTTGGTTTCAATCTTTAAACTTTTACGTTTTAAGAGCCTTCCCACACGCGTCGCGCCTTCTCAAGCGCTGGAACCTGACAACCCAAATAATGAAATAGTAATACAATAAAAATTATTTCCAAAAATCACTCGCTATTTACACATATTAAAATGATTAGGACCCAATAAACTAGCAATGATAATCGTCATAGACCAAAATTCAAATTAAATAATAATGGAAAAAATTTAAAGTACCTAAAAATATATTAAGAAAACCCAAAACGAGGAGTTGTTTATCATTACTACCAAAAATTACAATTTATAAATTGTACATATATGGTATACCTAATTATAGCAGAAAATCGGTTACAATCACAATAGTTATATTATAATATATATCACAAACTTTTTAACATGGGTATGGTATGACAGTCTACACTTTTCTGTCTTTATTATATTTCCTTATCTATCTTTTTAACTTCTCTGC